GGTTTTTCCTTTAAAATAATGTCTTTGTAATTAAGATAATTTTTTTTTCTATTTCTATCTTTATAGCTTAAGAAATGTATTAAAACTCCAGAAATCCCTTCTAAACATGTGAGGAATTGGGTCCCCAAAGTCTTGGAACAACGACGACAGGGTTTGGAAACATATTTACAGGTAAGATATGTTCAGATCCTCAATGAATATAATATAGCTTAAATAGTCATATAGCTCAGTATTTTTTCTCAGAACTTATGGGTGAGATACAAAATATATCAAGCAACTACACATTCTAGATTAAAATTATAAATATGTTGTTGGTTAGTTCTTTTAACTTCAATTAGCTTCCATTTAAAACTGATTATGTGGATCAGGGAAGTGAAAATTCAGTATAAAGGTAAAAACTGATATAGAAAGGGTCTGTCCATTTTTTAAATCAACTCTACAAATTACTTTGTTTTTGTTTTTTGTTTTCCCCTCCAAGATTTATTGCTTCCTCATAGCATTTAGGTTTTGGGTTTTGGGGAGATAGTGGGAGAAACTGCATTTTCAGTGGGTCTGGCTAGCATATCTATGGAATCAAATTGAGAATGAGTGTATAAAAATTGCCTCTGATGAAATGCCACCTTCTTTGACAATTAGAATTTATGGTTTTAAAAGAATGCGTTAGGATTGTCTTTTCTGCAACTGAGAGTTGCAAAAAGAACTATTTAAGTAAGATAGACGAAAGTACTCTCTCTGCCAAGTGACAGAAAAAGCAAAAGGAAAATGTAGCTTTTCTAAGTTTTAAAATGAAAAAGGCTGGAGGCCTCAGGTGACTGACTATTCGGTGTAGTGATTGTTATCCAAAGAGCGCTGCTCAGAGCAAGTGCTGAGATGAGGTTGGAATGGCATATGGAAGCCTTGTGTTCAGAGAGGACACCCGACTCCATTTGAGAGGCTGATGCGTGAGAATGATTGAGGTGCTGTGAGAGGGGGAGTTGGGGAATCTTGACTCTCAAAAAATAAAAAGCTGGACTTCACCTAAGAGTTATGAATTTACCATGATGATCTATGACGTGTTACATCAAAAAAATTGGCTGCCATGACTGTGTTCTTCCATTGATATCTTTCTAACCCCTTTAGCATTAGCCCTAGGGTGGATTCTATTTAGGAGGGCAGCTATGGACTACATGAAGCCTGCATACTTT